TTTCAGCAAGGAATTTGCATTTGCACTGTTACATTTTTATAAAGCTTTAATGTACATAAAAACCAGCTTCTTGTTTAAGTGAAAATAAAAGGAAGGTTTTCTTTGTGCGCTAGTAATGTTGTGGAGTTGTATTTTGTCTCGCATCAATTATATCGTCGGTTATATCGTTATCGCAAATTTTCAAATATATATCGTGATAAATATTTTTGGCCATATCGCCCTGCTCTAATCAAAGGTATCCTCTTGGAACGGTTTAGGTCGTACCTCTCCGACAGGACTTTTCCCCTGAGCCTTGATGATTTTATTTCTTCCCCAGCTCCTTTTACTTGTGGTGTCCCGCAGGGTTCCACATTAGGCCCAATGCTTTTTTCAATCTACATGTTGCCCCTAGGCCTAATCTTTAGGAAGCATAACATCTGCTTTCACTCATATGCCGACGACACCCAGACTTATCTTCGGTTTAATAGAAACACCTCCACGCCCATGGAATCGCTAGTCAAATGTCTCGATGAAGTTAAAACCTGGATGGCCTCAGATTTTCTTACCTTCAATGAGGATAAAACTGAGGTAATTATTTTTGGACCGAGCTGTAATTTCAATGCCCCAGATTTGGACTTATGCAACCTAACATGTGCTGTTAAAACGCATGTAAAAAACCTGGGGGTTTTCTTGGATAGCAAACTTACATTCGAGAAACAAATTAATTCAGTTGTCCAGCGGTCCTTTTTTAAATTAAGGCTCCTATCCAAAGTGAGATCTTTTTTTATCTTTTATTAACTTGGAACAAGCAATTCATGCGTTCGTTTTATCTCAGCTGGATCACTGCAGTTCACTGTATGTGGGTGTCAGTCAGTCCAGCTCGGCCCGGCTCCAACTTGCTGCAGCTTGCCTCTTGACTCGTGTGAAGAAACACCAACATATTACTCCGGTGCTTGCTTCCCTTCATTGGCTTCCAGTGCGTTTTAGAATTAAATTCAAAATCTTACTTTTGACTTATAAAGTGCTAGTTGGCCGGGCACCGGACTATTTGTCTGACCTATTGCAGCTGTATACGCCGTCTAGAGCCCTTCGATCAAGCGATCACCTGCTCCTTACCTCACATAAGTCTAGGATGGTTCATAGAGGAGATCGGGCATTTGCGGTTGTGGCACCGAAAATGTGGAACGATCTACCTCTCCACATTAGAAAGGCCCCGACTGTCACTCTTTTTAAATCGCATCTTAAAACATAGTTTTTTACTCTGGCTTTTGAAACTGTGTGAGAGTTACCAATTCTTTTATCCTAATTTTCTTTTAATTTTCTTACCTGTCGTTGTTTAACTGTTACTCTGTGCAGCACTTTGGTCAGCTCCCTGTTGTTATTAAACGTGCTTTATGAATAAATAAATGAAATCTGGACAGCCGGTGGCAGCGCTAACACGTGACAGTTCATTGGTAACTGAATCAGGTGTGAATATGGTTGCCTGTCTCTGCGTCAGCCCTCTCTGTCCGTCCACACTGAGATGGAAAACGCAGCGTTTTGAAAACGCTTTCATTTGAAGACGGTGCTTTCACGTCGCAGTGTGGACAGCGAAAACGGAGACTTTCGAAAACGATGACGCGTGTTAGTCATATGATGCGGTCATGTGACCAATTAAACTACGACAGCGGAGAGCAGCAGTTGCTGTGTTTGCTCTCAGCTCTGACAGCCCTATTAAAGGTTATTATCAGTCTGTACGTGCTACAGATCAAACTCTTTGATTCTCACTCGCTTTTGCGTTTCATGCATGTGCAGGACTGGAACGTCAGCGCTTTCAGACGAAAACACAGTTTTAAATCTATCCGGGTTAGTGTGGACGCAGCCTTTGCCTGCGCTCACACTTTGTTTCAACACATTCACTTCAAATTATGAAGCGTGTCTTCAGTGCGAGCCGCTCGGCGAGAAACAGCCTTCATTTACTCGCACTTAGAAATCAAGCTGGAGGTGTCAGCGCCACAGCAGTGGGTGCTTTCCCACAAACGCTCTTATTGTGGAATAATTTGGTGATAATAATCTGATGATTTTCCTTATTTGCTCATTTTAGGTTTTATTAAATAAAAGTTTTTAGCATCTGAGGCGTTTTGCATCCGAGCGGCTTCGTCCATCTGCAGGTTACCAGCTTATCCAGCCTCCAACATGATCCCGTGAACGGAGGCAGCATCAGTTTAGTGCTGCTGACTGCAAACAGATGTTGTGACAGGGCATCTGATTAAAGATGTTAAGACAAATCCCCCCCACACACACGCATCTTTGAGAAGATACTCACTCTGCAGCTGAAACGGCTCTTTAAAGACGCCAGGAAGTGAAGACTGACACAAAATGGCCTCTTCTCTCTTCACGAGATCACAAAATCAAGCTGCTCCTCACACAGAAAGCAGAATCGTGTGTGTGTGTCATGCAAGGAGATATGAACAGATAAACTACC